CCAGAGGGGGAAAAATGTTATTTCATTTGCCAACATCTTATTGGTGTGAATGGAAACAACTGTACACATCTAAATCTATGCATCTAAGCATGGGACCAGACCTGGCTCTGACAGTGAAACCAGTACTAGAGGCAGTTGCAAGGGTTTGAATTCTATATCACTTGGTCACAACCCCTGATAGTTTGGGATCCTCTGTGGTCATAGAAGGGACCATAAGGGTCATCCAGTCTAACCCCTAGCCAAGGTGCAGGATTTGTTGTGTCTAAACCATCCAGGGCTGATGGCTGTCCAGACTCCTTTTGAAAACCTCCAGTGAAGGAGCTTCCACAGGCAGTCTGTTCTATCGTCCGATTGTTCGTACAGTTAGGACATTTTTCCTGGGATTTAATCTAAATCTGTTGTGCTGTATCATAGAATCATAGAATCATAGAATATCAGGGTTGGAAGGGACCTCAGGAGGTCATCTGGTCCAACCCCCTGCTCAAAGCAGGACTAATTCCCAACTAAATCATCCCAGCCAGGGCTTTGTCAAGCCGGGCCTTAAAAACCTCCAAGGAAGGAGACTCCACCACCTCCCTAGGTAACGCATTCCAGTGCTTCACCACCCTCCTAGTGAAATAGTGTTTCCTAATATCCAACCTAGACCTCCCCCACTGCAACTTGAGACCATTGCTCCTTGTTCTGTCATCTGCCACCACTGAGAACAGCCGAGCTCCATCCTCTTTGGAACCCCCCTTCAGGTAGTTGAAGGCTGCTATCAAATCCCCCCTCATTCTTCTCTTCTGGAGACTAAACAATCCCAGTTCCCTCAGCCTCTCCTCATAAGTCATGTGCTCCAGACCCCTAATCATTTTTGTTGCCCTCCGCTGGACTCTTTCCAATTTTTCCACATCCTTCTTGTAGTGTGGGGCCCAAAACTGGACACAGTATTCCAGATGAGGCCTCACCAATGTCGAATAAAGGGGAACGATCACGTTCCTCGATCTGCTGGCAATGCCCCTACTTATACAGCCCAAAATGCCGTTAGCCTTCTTGGCAACAAGAGCACACTGTTGACTCATATCCAGCTTCTCGTCCACTGTGACCCCTAGGTCCTTTTCTGCAGAAGGTCTGACGGCTTGCTGCACTCAGCCGGGCACTCCAGCCCGGAAGCGCGGACCCCGCGGCTTGCCGCACCGGGAGAGTGGGGCTATTTGCCCACCCCGTGCACACGCCTATGCTTCTGCTCCCTGCCCCCGCGGGGGGAGCGGAGGGCAGAGGAAAGTAGGCCAGGCTGGGCAGGATTTTTAATGGCACGCTGGAGTCCCGGCAGGCAGCAGCGTGCCATTAAAAATCGGCTCGTATGCCGTCTTTGGCACGCGTGCCATAGGTTGCCGACCCCTGACCTAAGCAATGCAAGAAAATACTCTATGTTAGAAGTTTATGGGGACCAACCCTTGCAGGAAAACCCTGCCAGAACTCAGGACCCAGCAAGTCAAATTAGCCTTTGAAAGAAATCCCTTAAGTCTTGCTCTTTGTCATTCCTGAGCCTAGTCTCATTCCCATGCTGATCAGAGATCCCAGAAAAGTCCTTTAATTTATTTAAAGAAAACCATTTCATGGGAGAGATTAAACAGCTTTTAGCATGACTAAAGATTTGCCATTTGCCTTAACTTGCCCAAGACTGGAAGTGCTTTGTGCACAGAGACTGATTTTATGGCCATGGGGCCTGGGATCGCAGCTAAGGCTGAATGACAGATTTCATTTTAATAGGAAAGAAAAATGCCAAGGAACTTTTCTGTTTTTTTGAATTTCAGGGAATACAGGAATGACAAATTCTGCTCTTGATGCAATTTTAATTATTTTCCTATCATTTCTTTGATGGTACTTGCTATTTGAATGGGAAAAATAAACAGAATATAGTGCTGATTGCTCTTTATGTATAGACTCAGAACCTGTCTCCTCACATCATCACGCACAAAGGCCAGTCTACACTAGCTGAGAATATGTCACCACTAACTGTTGCTTGGAATGCATTAAGCTTACAACAGCTTAGGACTGCAAACAACAGCCATCCCAAATGGTGATTCTACTAGCTGTTCGCAGTGTCTGGCATGAAGCTGTTAGCTTAGCGTTGGCTGCACCAGTGCAGTCTGCAATAGTTGGGTCCCTGTGTAGTTGGGAACGCACAAGCACTGAATGTGCCCAGGTTCAACCCATCCTCCCAACTCCACTCCATAATGCATAATTTCACCCAAGGAAATTACCCACACTCCCAGCAACATTGTGAGCCCCCAGAGGAATCCTAGAAAGTAAGAGTGTAACACTGGCAGACCAGGTGCCAGCTCATGGCGAGGGCCCAGGCCTCACTGAACACTGACAAATACAGAGTTGGAAACCAGTCTGGCTCACCTGTATGTTAGTGTGGTTAAAATAGATATTAGAGTTATAAGAATGTGTTTAGTTTATACTTTATGAAATGCTTGTAGGATGCTGCATGTATTATCTCACTTATAATATCTGTATCCCATGTAATATTTAAGTATTTATTCTGTAACTATGAAAGTGTTTGCTATGAAACTGGGATACCCCCACCACCATCAGGAGAGAAGCATTACCAAAGTGTGAAATACTAGTGTACCACAAGAGGTGTCATCTCCTGCCCAACAAAAGATATACAGCCACAAGACAAGCCACAGTGGTACATCAGTGGACTTGTTGATTGCTCCCTCACACCCATGAAGAGGTGACGTGCGCAAATGTTTGTCCCATCAGTTTGAACTCAGAGGCAAAGGGAATAAAAATGCTGTTTGGATGGACTCTGAGGGGCAAAGATTCCTAAACATAAGCAAAGATCCCCAGCTGGGTTAGCCCTAAAGAACATATAAAGCTTGCATATTATAGCAGCTATCATAATCTTTTGGCACCTGCTTTAACCTTGTAAATAACTCTTATTTCTTTTAATAAACCTTTAGACAGTTTATTACAGGATTGGCTACAAACATTATCATTAGTGAGAAATCTAGGGTGCACTTGACCTGGGGTAAGTGACTAGTACTTTGGGACTGGGAGTAACCTAAATATTGCTGTGATTTTTGGTGTAAGGCATCATCTATCACAGAGGCAGGCTTGCCTGGGTGACAAGACAGCCCTGAGCGCCCGAGGGGACTGTCTGTGACTCCAAGTTAAGGCTTTTACAGTGGTTTAGGAGTTCACACTTGTTACTTGGTTGATGAAATCTAAGTACAGAACATACAAGGAGTTTGGAGTTCGTGCCTTGTTTCTTAACAGACTGCCCTGAGGTTGGCACCCATATTTGTGAGTCATTCTAGACACCTTGGCAATTGGTACAACTGCAAATCTTTCTGGGTGGTGATAGCCAAGATGGGTCTGATGCAAATAGAGCTGCTGTGTTGACCTACCAGCTGCTGTCAGGACAAGTGAGGCAGACAACTATTTCACACAGCCCATGTCCCTGCAATGGTTTGCTCACTTAGCATAGGCACAGCACCCATATACGCATGCCCTATCCATGCTAGGTTATAGTATACTGGAAACAGTGCTACAGGTTTGGGCATCTCAGTATGAGCATATCAGACCAACTGTGTTCTCTGTTGAATTTCAAGGGCTGGTGTGTATGCAAATAACAGGCATCCTTGTAGGAAACAGAGGTGTATTCCATACTCTAAGGGTTTCACTTTCACACCCATTGCATCAGCAAGCCCCTTTGTGTACATTGACTGGAAATGGACAGAGCAAACAGCGCCAGTAGGGACGCTGCCCAAATCATTCATGCAGCAACCAAATCTGGGGGATGCCAGGGGAGCACATTCATTCTCATAGAAGCTCCAACCACGGCTAGATTGGTCCCAAGTACTTTCGGCTGGAAATCCTTCCAGACCACAGCTGGGAGTCAGACAAAGCCCTAGAATAGAACATGCCATGCCAAGGGAGCTTCTGTGTCAAGATGGGGTGTGTAGGAGAGGAGCTATCATTAGTGGTAACTCCAGGCATTGTATTCACAACAAACAATATTATCATGGTACTCAAGGTTACTGCAGGCAGGGGTGGGTGCTAGTGGCAGCCCTTGGTGCTGGCGGATGTCCAGAGCAGTGCAACATCCTGTTCCTTTACTTATTAAATCTCAAGGGGGGGGTATACATGGGGAGGGAACTGGGCGATTATGGCCATTTAACCTTTGAAATGAAATGTTTGTTCTAAAACGTCTCTCTCACCCTGATTCTCAGGAAATGCAGAGCTAGCACCTACCCCACTAATCTGGTACCTGTAGGATTTCCCTACCCTGATAGCATGAACAGCAGATGCAGAATGCATTTCTCAGGGACATGAGGTCCTTTCAAGAGGCCATGCCTGGGTTAGAAGAGGGCACCTCTGCTGTCCTCTAGATGGGTGGCTTGTCATTCCTCATTGGTCCTGCAGCAAATGCAGTAAACCATATGCTCCTCAGAAAGCAATGCCTCCATTGCAGTGGGAATGTTCACCTACAGCAGAATGCACATTCCAGCCCAGCAGCTGGCACATTGTACTACACAATGTGTTTGGGCTTTCCCCTGTCTAACAGGCTGTAACCAAACAAGGATGGGAGGAATCCAAACCAGGCAAATGCTAAATCCGTTGAGCCTGTCTGAAGCCTAAAAGTGTCCAGACCGGTTCAGTTTTCACTTTGTAATTGCACAGCCCACTATGCTTTAGTGGCAGCTCCTGCATCACTGTGTTCCTCACCTGCATTCCCTGCACTAGGCACATCCCCCAAATACCCTCCCTTTACCAGGCACTTTCCTGGTGTGTGCTCCCATCCACAGATGCATTCCCAGCACACGCTCCCTGCACGAGGAGCCTCCTCATGGAGAACATGGACCTTACTTTTCCCCTTCCAAAATGGGAAAACAGAATCCTCTTTGACTGAATCCACTGATAAACAGGAACATGCCACATCTATCAATAACCCTTGTTCATCCTTTGTCATTCCAGAGTTAGCTTGTCATATGAACTATGGATTTGGTCTGATCTCGGCTTGGTTCCTTCTCACTTTTTTCTCCGCTTATGGTGGTTTTTTAATGTGCAGTAGAAGAAGCCCCACTGCCCAGGTTTTGTTGTGAGTCCAGGTGAAGTGGCTTCAGTTTTTACAGGTGGGTCTTCTGGGGTGGGAGGAGGAGCAGGACGTGTGAGGGAAGCAAAGTGTCACTCTTCGCTGGCTGATGGTTGGAGGAGGCGGTGAATTTCCTGGAAGGAGGGGCGATCTTTCGTGTCTCGTCTCCAGCAGCTGAGCATTAGCTTGTAGACAGGATCAGGGCAGAGAGCAGGTTGGGGAAGGTATGTCTTCAAAACAAAACAGACATTACAAAAGCAGAGAGTTAATGGCATACTTAAACAGCCTGGAAGAAGAGCAAACTCACGCCAGGGAACTTGATTTCCCATTATGGAGGGGCCGGTGCCCATTGTAGTAAAAGAAAGCCAAAGGTCCCAGACTTATTGTGAACTGCATAATGTATTGGGCTAGAGAAATGGGACACTGAATGCAGAGGTTTGATTGTATCCCATTACCCACCTAATTACTACTGTCCTCTGAACACTGGGAGCAGTCAGGATCGTGCTAGGGCTCAATCCTGTGCAGTGCAGAGGGTTCAGACCCAATCCAGCAAAATGCCTCAAACACAGAAAGCACGAGCCACCAAAAGCAGCTAGGGTACAATGGTGATGAAGCCTTTTGCTCCCAGCCTATTTACTCTTTGGCTCACGCTCTAGCTCAGCCTGGGTCTGGGCTCCCAGTGCTGCAGGGGAAGGTTACACTGAATGAAAGTTTGCACTGGAATTTTAAAAAAATACAATGAAAGCAACTTTGTGGACTCGGGAATAAAGTCGGAACCTCCCATTCCATTATAATCCTGATTTGGATACACACACAACACAACCCCACCACACATGCTAACTTCACCAAACCTTAACCCAGATGCCTGAAATTATCATAAGATGTATGCAGTTGCAGCAACAAAGACTGCTGGTCAGAAAACAGAATTTTCATTCTGCAGGAAATTTCAACATTTCAATATTTGTTTTCTTTCCAAATCGGAATGAAAGTCTAAATTTTCCACCAAATGGAAATTCCAAAACATCAAAATGTTTTTATTAAAATGAAATAATTTTACCTTATTGAATGTCAAAACAATATAAAATATTAAATATATTATATTTAATAGTAGATTTATATTATATTAAAATATATATTATAAGTCAAAACAGTAAAGTTGAAACAAAACATTTTGACATTATTGAAATTAAATGAGAAAGCTGAAATGATTCACTTAGAGATTTTTCCAGTGAAAATTTCATCAAAATGAACACATTCCCGTGAAAAGTTCTTATTTTAATGATAGGTTTCCTTTGGAAAATGCAGTATTAGCCAAAAAAATTTCAAACAACTTTAGCAACAAAGTTTCACCAAAAAGATGTTTGCCTGAAATTGCAGAGAGGCTGAAACTTTGACTCTGATGGGTGTGAATCATGCCGAAAATACTCAGCAATGTATGTCATGCCAATGGGTGTTTCCATCTCCAAGCCATTGCTGTGCATGTTGGGTGGGAATTAAGCACACTGAATGCAGACAGAGCACATTAGCAGTGAGCCAGAATGCAGGATACGGAATTTGGGTACAATATACCTGATTAAGTGATACTTTGCTACTGTAGACCGGAAACAAGGGGCATATATTTTTGACAATGAGGGTGATTAACCAATGGAACAATTTACCAAGGGCTGTGGTGGATTCTCCATCACTGACCATTTTAAAATCAAGATGGGATGTTTTTTCTAAGAGATCTGCTCCAGAAATTATTGTGGGGAAGTTCTGTGGCCTGTGCTACACAGGAGATCAGACTAGATGATCAGAATGGTCCATTCTAGCCTTGGAATCTATGAAAAACTAGTGTGCCTGGGGGAGCAATGAAGTATAACTGCTCCCAGAAGGAAGGCACTTGGCAGTGTGGACTGCGATGGCTTCAAGAAGTCAGGAGCCAGGGGAGTTTCTATTGCCAACACAGGTGTAGCTCAGTCTAAGGGATCTGATGGGGGGAGCTGCCAAGGTTGTCTTGGAAATTGTGCTCTTGATTTTGAAAGTTACTGACAACGTAACCCTGTGTGTGCTGGAAGTAGGGTGACCAGATGTCCAGATTTTACCAGGACTGTCCCAATATTAGGGGCTTTGTCTTCTTTAGGACCCTATTATCCCCCACCCCCCATCCCAATTTTTCACCCTTGCTATCTGGTCACCCTAGCTGAAAGGGTCACACTTCCTCTACGTTTCTGGACATTCTCAAAGAACCTAGGCACAGAGAGGGCTCTGCAGGAACCTGCACTGGGCATTTCAGTACTCTCCTTTTTCATCTTTAAAGTGAGACCGACCTTAACGCTGAATTTTCAGCCTCTCTAACATTGTATTTCTGTTTACATTGGAAACTGAAAGTTTATGGAGCTCTTCCTTTGAAGGTTTTGATAGAAATTGCACTTTCAAGCTTAACTTATCCTTAACCAAGCTTTTTTGTGGGCTGGTTATGTTGAATGAGTTCCTCCCCACCCGACCCTGAATTAATTATTTTCTGTCCCTTCCCTGGATGTATTTCCCCACCACATTTCCTACCTGCCGCCCCTGATCCCTGAAGAATTCTCCGGTATTCTCAATGACCTGTTCATCTGACAGCTGGGAATACGGTTGCTCTCGGCAAAAAGTGAAGGTCTCCCATAGTGTCACCCCAAAAGCCCAGACATCGCTGGCTGTAGTGAATTTTCCCTATGGGTTAAAGCAGAGATAGGAAGCTCAGGATTACAGATGTGTGTGCATGCACACAAACACACACACTCTCCCCTGCTCCCCCATAACCAATCCCTTTGAGATGAGGGAAGAGAAAACATTCAGCTGGCAACAACAGAAACCACTGGAGGCACCAAGACATGTTTCCTGATCTTGTTCACATTCAGATTTATTCATGATCTGTGTCATGCTGTCTGGTGTAGCCACAGGCACCGACTTCCCAAAGTGCTGGGGAGTGCTCGACCCCCTGGCTCTACCCCAGGCCCTTCCCCCTCTCCACCCCTTCCCCGCAAGGCCCCACTCCTGCCCCACCTCTTCCTGCCCAGTTCTGCCCCCAAATGGTAGCAGAGATGTAGTAATCTGCCAGATTCCCAAAAATCTCTCAGAATAACATAAGAATGGCCATATTGGGTCAGACCAAAGGTCCATCCAACCCAGGATCCTGTCTACTGACAGTGACCAATGCCAGGTGTTCCAGAGGGAGTGAACCTAACAGGTAATGATCAAGTGATCTCTTTCCTGCTATCCATCTCCACCCTCTGACAAACAGAGGCTAGGGACACCATTCCTTACCCATCCTGGCTAATAGCCATTAATGGACTTAACCTCCGTGAATTTATCTAGTTCTCTTTTAAACCCTGTTATAGTCCTAGCCTTCATAACCTCCTCAGGCAAGGAGTTCCACAGGTTGACTGTGCGCTGTGTGAAGAAAAACTTCCTTTTATTTGTTTTAAACCTGCTGCCCATTCATTTCATTTGGTGGCCCCTAGTTCTTATATTAGGGGAACAAGTACATAACTTTTCCTTATTCACTTTCTCCACACCGCTCATGATTTTATATACCTCTGTCATATCCCCCTTAGTCTCCTCTTTTCCAAGTTGAAAAGTCCCAGCCTCTTTAATCTCTCCTCATATGGGACCCATTCCAAACCCCTAATCATTTTAGTTGCCCTTCTCTGAACCTTTTCTAACACCAATATATCTTTTTTGAGATAAGGAGACCACATCTGTACGCAGTATTCAAGATGTGGGAGTACCATGGATTTATATAAGGGCAATAAGATATTCTCTATCCCTTTTTGAATGATTCCTAACATCCTGTTTGCTTTTTTGACTGCCGCTGCACACTGCATGGAAGTTTTAGAGAACTATCCACGATGACTCCAAGATCTCTTTCCTGATTAGTTGTAGCTAAATTAACCCCCATCATATTGTATGTATAGTTGGGGTTATTTTTTCCAATATGGATTACTTTACATTTATCTACATTAAATTTCATTTGCCATTTTGCTGCCCAATCACTTAGTTTTGTGAGATCTTTTTGAAGTTCTTCACAGTCTGCTTTGGTCTTAACTATCTTGATCAGTTTAGTATCATCTGCAAACTTTGCCACCTCACTGTTTACCCCTTTCTCCAGATCATTTATGAATAAGTTGAATAGGATTGGTCCTAGGACTGACCCTTGGGGAACACCACTAGTTACCCCTCTCCATTCTGAAAATTTACCATTTATTCCTACCCTTTGTTCCCTGTCTTTTAACCAGTTCTCAATCCATGAAATGATCTTTCTTCTTATCCCATGACAACTTAATTTACTTAACAGCCTTTGACAAGGTCCCTCACCAAAGGCTTTCTGGAAATCTAAGTACAGTATGTCCACTGGATCCCCCTTGTCCACATGTTTGTTGACCCCTTCAAAGAACTCTAATAGATTAGGAAGACATGATTTCCCTTTACAGAAACCATGTTGACTTTTGACCAACAATTTATGTTCTTCTCTGTGTCTGACAATTTTATTCTTTACTATTGTTTCAAATAATTTTACTAATAACTCTGGGGATCTCTATCTTCTCGTTCAGTTATTCTGCCTTGTTAGAATCCAAACAATCCAGAGATTAAAGGATCTTTCTTTGAATCCACATTTATAGTTTCTTCACACCAGAAAGCAAGATCATAAAATCATAGGACTGGAAGGGACCTCGAGAGGTCATCTAGTCCAGTCCCCTGCGCTCATGGCATGATTAAGTATTATCTAGACCATTCCTGACAGGTGTTTGTCTAACCTGCTCTTAAAAATCTCCAATGATGGAGACTCCATAATGTCCCTAGGCAATTTATTCCAGTGCTTAACCACCCTGACAGTTAGGAAGTTTTTCCTAAAATCCAACCTAAACCTCCCTTGCTCCAATTTAAGCCCATTGCTTCTTGTCCTATTCTCAGAGGTTAAGAAAAACAGTTTTTCTCCCTCCTCCTTGTAATAACCTTTTACGTACTTGAAAATTGTTATCATCTCCCCTTTCAGTCTTCTCTTTTCCAGACTAAACAAACCCAATTTTTTAAATCTTCCCTAATTGGTCATATTTTCTAGACCTTTAATCATTTTTGTTGCTCTTCTCTGAACTCTCTCCAGTTTGTCCACATCTTTCCTGAAATGTGGTGCCCAGAACTGGACACAATACTCCAGTTGGGGCCTCTCTACCCATGTGAGCTTTTCACTCATGAGGATGAGTGAAGAATGCACTTAGCCTTTTGACCTCTGACCATCATGCATAATTTGCTTTGAAATTAGCATTTTCTGATAAAGTCCTTAAGTCCTTCATTAGCATTTCACAAGATTTCTTGGGTGGGTTATTTAGTCTCAGGATATACACCATGTAAATGTTTGCTTTTACATTATAACAGGAACAGATACGGGAAAATGATACATGTAACATTCCACTAATTTTCATGAAGTTTAAAATCTGAGGACACATTTAACACTTTGATCTACTAACACACAAGTGAACTGGCTTGGGGTTCTGACCTGAGCTGACACCTGGTTTGCCAGCATCACAATCTGCATGTGGAACTCCTATTTGCAGAGGGAGAGAGAGCTGAATGGAATTGGGGTACATAGCTCTTAGAACACCCGTCCAACAGAATTACGTTTTTCTCCAACTCTCAGCTCTTCCCTCCTTCTCCCTCTTTTCACAGATCTTTAGGCCAGGAGGGCCCATCATGACCCAACTCATCTGAGCTTCACAGGTGAGAGGTCCCTGCCTGGAGTTCAATAGCCTGTGACTGAGCTACAGCAGATCTTTCGGAATGAAACCCATTTACCACAGCCCTCAGTGAGCTGCTCCGGTGGTCGATCACCCTGAGCATTAGAAATCACACCTTGTTTTGCTCCATGTCACATGAACAAAACCACTGCTGGGCGTCTCTCTCCTGGTCCAGAGGTTTCATCTCTCCAAGGCTGGTGGCATTAAATTGCTAGGGGAGGGCTCATGCCTTGTGAACCCACTCCCACCAGCAACTCATCAGAGCCAGGGTCTGGTAAGTTTCAGGACACATGTTTGACCAGGCTTTTATTAACTTTTACAACGAGGAGTGTGCAGAAACTATGAGGTGGGTCTGCTACAGTCTCTTGAATTGTACTTGTGTAGGCAATGGGAGCCTTATGCATAGGAGTTACCCTCCCTGGGGACACTTCCTGCCACTGCTCCCTTTGCTTCTGATCCTGGGTATGGAAAAAGAAAAAAGGAAGCAGAACTGTCAGCCCCAGCTGGGCTCAGCACACAGTCATGGTATTTCAGGGAGGTGTCTCTAGTACTCTTCCCCAGCTGGGCTGTCTCGAGTTGGAGGGGTGGGGCTAGCTGGGCCCAGCACTGTCTTTTAACCCCTTCCATGCCAGTGTGGGATTTGTATACCCATCACATAGATCAACACAAGCATTGAATGAGAAATGCCAGGATCTGCCTGTCAGGCTGTGATAAATGAAGTGTGTGCGGGGGTGGGGGAGCTCCCTTTGATGGACACCCAGCCAGCCAGTTAGCTGTAAAATCCCTCTTGTAGCAGTTCTCTGCTTGCTTTACCTGTAAAGGGTTAACAAGCCCACAGGTAAAAGAAAAGGAGTGGGCACCTGACCAAAAGAGCCAATGGGAAGGCTAGAACTTTTAAATTTGGGAAAGAAACTTTCCCTTTGTCTGTTGTTCTCTTGGCTGCAGGGACATGGAGCAGCAATGCTATAAGCAGAAATGCTGAGTAAGGTTTGAACCAGGTATGAAAAATTATCTTCCATACCTAGAAGAAATAATTTGGATAGGGAATGTTTAGTTAGACACAATCAGGTTTATTTCTTATTTTGGCTTATGGATCTCCTCTGTGCTAACCCCAGATACTTTTGTTTGCTTGTAACCTTTATCTGGGGTTAGCACAGAGGAGATCCACAAGCCAAAATAAGAAATAAACCTGATAGCATCCAATTAAACATTCCCTATCCAAATTATTTCTTCTAGGTATGGAAGATACTTTTTCATACCTGGTTCAAACCTTACACAGCATTTCTGCTTATAGCATTGCTGCTCCGTGTCCCTGCAGCCCAGAGAACAATAGACAAAGAGAAAATTTCTTTCCCAAATTTAAAAGTTCTAGCCTTCCCATTGGCTCTTTTGGTCAGATGCCCACTCCTTTTCTTTTACCTGTGGGCTTGTTAACCCTTTACAGGTAAAGCAAGCAGAGAACAGCTACAAGAGGGATTTTACAGCTAACTGGCTGGTTGGGTGTCCATCAAAGGGAGCTCCCCCGCTCCTCTCACCCCACTTCATTTATCACACAGGCTGAGGGGATATTTGGATCACTCGGGCATGGGCAGCTAAAGCTTCAGGTCTGGTTGTCTGACACGAGAGTGTGGTGGCTGCCCAGTTTTCAGACTGTGGTTTTGCAATAAATACCATTGCTGCTGTCACTGTCTGATGGGGTCGGTCTGCTCTCTCTGGACTGGACTGCAGCACCCCAGTTCCCATTGCTGTTCTCTTGTTCAGAACACATGTCCACCTGGACTCACCTATTTAGTTTTGTTCTGTTTTAATATCAATTATAAAGCTGCTGCTGCCTCCACTCTGAGACCGTGAGTCAGAACTGACACTTTATTTAAAATTTAAGTAACAATTCTAATCCCTTGATCCAACCCATGATAACATCCACCTCCCAAAACAGAGTCACAAAACTGACTGGATAGCTCTACCCTGAGCAAGTGGCCTGGTGGCTGGAGCTTTGTTATGCATGCCTGGGCCCTGTCATGTGCTGTGGTGTGGGTGGCAGTGATGTCCCTCTGTTTCACCCTCTGTGGCTAGTCAGAGTTCAGGGCCCTGGAGAAGTAGGAATTCATGAAGTCTGGAATTTTCTATAATGCACTTTTGTTTATTTACAAGGAATGCACAAAGTCCTGCTTCTCTGAGCACAGAAGGCGTCAAGAATAAGAGGAACAGTTTCCCAGCTTACAGCCCCAAGCCTCTTTAGACAGCAGACCCAAAAGCTCCCTCACTAGCTTTTTGCAGGTCACATTGGGCTCACCAGCTATTGCTTGGATTTGTTGTTTTTTGCCTCTGCCTGCCTCTCTCTTTGTCCTTATTTGTTCTCAGTTTCTGTGTGTTCTGCCTTCCCTCCCACACCCAAAACAATACTTTGCAAAAGACTCTACCCACCAGTCCACTCTACTCCTGGGAGGGCTCACAACCCCCTGTTGTCTTGGGGAGTGGGGCTTCTGATTAGCTCATCCTGACACTTCTGGTAACTGCAGGCTGCAGTAATGCCCCGGCTCAGAGGGGTTTGTAATCAAAGCAGTCACTGGTCCCTCTCAGCATAACGCTATCAAAGTGCAGCCAATTGACCCAGGGCATTCTCCTTTTCCTCCTCATTCAGTGCCCGTATAAAGATGTCCATTTCTATGTGACACCCCCTCTCCCCCCATGAGACAGTCCCTTTCTCTCATGAGGCCGCAGTATAGAGACAAAGCCATGCAAATGCAGACTGCTGTCACCCAGTGAACCTGCCATCCACGGGCTAAAATCTCAGCAGCATTGGACACACACTCAGTGCAGCACAACTGTGTGTGGAAGGCAAATGGGACTTTAGCCCCTCACTAAGAGCTGTTCTAACATGCACCAATTTGGGATAATCTCCAAGGGGCCATGAGGCCAGTGAGAATGGACAGAGTGCAGTGCACCCCAGATCCCCTTCCCTCAGCACTCTCATACCTCCAACAGGCTATGGCTGGTGTAGGTGCCTATTATCTTCCATTGCTTCTGGGTGACTAGAGAGGAGAACAGTCTCCACCCTTCCCAGGTAGCTGTCACAGAGCCATGGAGCTGGAGGGCTGGGATTAAGTGGGAGGTGACCTCAAGTAATGAGCTCACTTGGCAAGGTCCTGTCTCAGGGATAGTCTTGCTGCAGGCAAAATGCCCCTCAGGAGGCAACCAGCTGCAGTCCTCGCATGGCAGCCCAAACAGGTAAAGTACCATCTAACTGCTGTAATTATCAAGCTAGGCCTTTAGCTGCACCCACTTATTGACAAATCTACAGAAAAGCAGCACCACTCTCATTCAGATCTAAGCAACACACCAAGGCCTGGTCTACACTAACACCCCAATTCGATCTAAGGTACGCAACTTCAGCTACGTGAATAACGTAGCTGAAGTCGACATACCTTAGTTCGAATTTACCGCGGTCCACACGCGGCAGGCAGGCTGCCCCGTCGACTCCGCGGTACTCCTCTCGCTGAGGTGGAGTACCGCAGTCGACGGCGAGCACTTCCTGGTTCGAATTATCGCGTCCAGACCAGACGCGATAAATCGAACCCGGAAGTTCGATTGCCAGCCGTCGAACTACCGCAGTAGTGTAGACATACCCCAAGAAAAGATACTGCACATCTCTCACACAGGGACCCAGACATGCTCCAGTCCTTCTGTAAAGAGAAACTACGCTCATGGGGTAGGCCCAACCACAGCTCCATCTTCCCCTTTTCTGCCCCACACTGCAATGCCTCCCCATGGTGGGACTGCTCAGATGTCACTAGATTACAGCAGCATCTGAGCGAATGCCCTGGACAACGCATGTAAACACGGAGCCCCCGATTCCATCCTGCCCCTTGATCAATCAGGAGATGGCGGCAGGCAGTGGGCACTGAAACCCATTCCCCATGATCACCCAGTGCTACGGAAAGGGGCCAGGTCCCCACAATCTCTCTCACTGGTTCCCCTGGCAGTTGCAAAGTCTCCACTTACCAATAAAATACTCTCCCAGGACATCCAGCGAATAGGGAGCACGGCCCGCCCCTGGATTCGGTAGTAGTCTCCACTGTACAGGTTCCTGCTCATGCCGAAGTCTGCTATCTTGATGGTGTAGTTCTTACCCACCAAGCAGTTGCGTGTGGCCAGGTCCCGATGCACAAAATTCAGAGAGGACAGGTACTTCATGCCAGAGGCAATCTGAGTGGCCATGAACTTCAGGTCAGTGTAGCTGCAGAGACAGGGAAGGCCAAAGGAGAGGTGAGGCTGCTGAGCAGGCCTTGAGCCACCTGGGTGTGATGTCACCTAAACAGGAGCAGTTGGACCTCATTCTCGGCAACTCACAGCAGCCTGCCCTTGTACGATGCAAACCCTGGGGCAACAACCTGGACACCAACAGCCTACAGCAGAAGCTCCCATGGTAATTGCTGGATGTATCATGGAGAGCAGGCCCTGGCTAGATACTGCACTGCAGTGGAAGGGCCAGTCAGGGCAGGAGTGCCCTGACAGTGTGTCACTGGCAGGGCAGTAAGAAATGAGCATGGCATGGATGGCAGAGTGGCCTGGCCAGATTCCTACTGGGCAGCAGCTCCTGCTTGTCCAAGCCCCAGCTACCCAAAGGTTTGGCACATCCCCAAAACAGGGCAACGGCACAAAATGCTGGAGTCACCAGGAGAAGCCCAAGAAATGACAATGAAATAGGCATTTCCTCCTGCATGTGCTTTCACCACCTCCACCTGGTCACACTCACTCTCCCTACCCCCACCCAGCCACCCCCCACTCTGCCCCAGCCCCACCCAGCCCCTGCTCTCCTTACCTCCACCCAGACACACCCTCTCCCCAATCTCCTCTCACTGCCCCCATCTGGTCACACTTGCTCTCTTCACCCCGCTCAGCCACACCTGTCCTCCCTTTCCCCTCACCCAGCCACACCTACTCTGCCCCAACACCTATTTAGCAACACCATTACTCCTCACCCAGGCGCACCTGTTCTCACAACCCCACTCCCACCCAGCCACACCTGCTCTCATGACCCCTCCCCCACCTGCTCTCCTCTACCCATCACATCTGCTCTCCCTGCCCCTACCCAGTCATATCCTCCCCTTTCTGCATCCCCCACGGTCTTGCCCTTCTGCCCCACCATGCTGTGAGAGTGGTAGAGTCCTGTATAGCTGAGGAGCCCCATGCAGGAGCGGAAGGGCTACCTGACAATGGGTCCATTGCTGGCAGGGGGGAGCTGGGGCTCGTGGCGGGATAGGAACTGATTGAGGTCGCCGTTCTCCATGTACTCAGTAATCATGCAGAGAGGATCGTCGGTGATGCACACTGCCAGCAGCCGGATGATATTGGGGTCCTTGAGCCGTGACATGATCTTAATCTCCTTCAAAAAGTCATTCCTTTCAGAAACAAAACCACACAGACACACGTGAGCCCACAGGGACAGGTATCCGACACGTGGGCATACATGGACAGACCCAGAGACACACAGACAGAGAGACATGGACCCCCAGGGACAGATGGACAAAGGCAAAACATGCAGGGCACTGGAGTTAATGATACAATGTACAACAAGGGAAAGTACCACAGAGAACAATTTTCACAGCAAAGTATACTAATACTCATGACAGATGTTAATGGGAAAATATTGCTAGCCTTTGCCATGTGGCACCAGGCTTTAGGGCCTGGCAGGTCCATCTGGATCAGCAATCGATAGTGCACACTCAGGGACTTCCCATGCAAGTTGGTTATTCACAGAACGTACTCATGGCCTGCGTCAGAGGTGGTAACAAATGGCACACAGGCAACTTGCTCTTCCCAGAAACCTTAGCTAAGGCATCATGGCTCTGACACCAAAAGGCAGCTCTCTCAGGCCGGTGTCTCTTGTGGACCATCCTGGAGTCTCACTAACAAGCACTCTGTTCCCTGTTCCTGCCTCACTTCCTGGGGTTTATACCCGGGAAACCCCTTAGGCCCTGGCTGCTCCCCTAGGATCACATGGGCCTGGAAGATGACCTGGCCATTACTCTCCAACCCCACCCCTTCAGACAGCTGCTCTGCAACACAAAGGAAGCTCTATAAGGTTTTGCTGCCCATTGGACAAAGGAGGGTGCTTTGACTTCCACAGCTCCGCCATAGCTGCCGCTGGACAGGTTCCTGCATGGGTCCCATCAGTAAGGCTAAGGGGGGAGGGATAGCTCAGTGGTTTGAGCATTGGCCTGCTAAACCCAGCGTTGTGAGTTCAATCCTTGAGGGGGCCATTTAGGGAACTGGGTTTTTTAAGAAAAACAAAACAAAAAAAAACCAACTATCTGGGGATTTGTCCTGCTTTGAGCAGGGGGGTTGGACTAGATGATCTCCTGAGGTCCCTTCCAACCCTGATATTCTATAATTGAGTCATGAATATTTTTGGTAAAAGTCACAGGCAATAAATAAAAATTCACAGCCCGTGATCTGTCCATGACTTACCCAAATACCCATGACTAAATCTCTACTTCTGGGGCCCTGCTGCTCCAGGAGGCCCCTGATGTTCCAAGGGGGGCCCCTGATGTGGGGGGCCTGCTCCAGTGCTGGGATTGACAGCCCCCCAGCAGCTGCTCCCAGGGACCGCGCTCTGGATGGCCTCCAGGCATCCCTGGGGCCACTGCTCCAGTCACCCTGGGACCACTGCTGCCTGGGCAGTCCCCAGTGTACTCCCAAGACCACTGCTCGGGTACTCCCCAGAGCCAGCCACACCGGCCACTGTTCCAGCAGACCCTGGAGCCAGCTGCCTGGGTGGCCCTGAAGTCAGCCGCACCAGCCGCTGCGGAAATCATGGAGGTCCTAGAACGTCACAGAATCCGTGACTTCTGGGACCTCCATGAAAGAATTGCAGCCTAACCCATCAGTTTCATGAGCCAAGCACTAGGAAGCCAGCCTGATCTGCGGCATACCTCCCAACATTTGCAGGGGCTGAAGTGGGACAGGTGCTGCCCCCTGGGGGCTGAGAGTAAGCCTGCCTCCCACTTACCCCACAGTGGTGGCTCCTCTCCTGCAGGGCTGGTTGGGTTCAGCTCCCTATGAGGGGCATTGTGACCTGGTTCCTGGCACGCAGGGTCGCCATGCCACTCGTTTGTATGTGTCCTGGCCCCTCAATGAGGCGGGGAGCCAAGCCCAGCTAGACCTATGGGACAGGAGCTGCTTCAGCTGAGCTGGAGGGTCACAGTGGGACAGTCCTGTGAAACCTGGGACTGTTGGGAGGTCTGCTGCAGAGCATTCAGGTACAGCTACGCTGGGAGGTGTAATCCCCAGCTCCAGCAGGTGTACACATGCTAGCTCTGCTCAAGCTCACACACTAAGAGATAGACATGTGGCCACAGCAGCACAGGCAGTGCTTGAGCTAGCCCCTCAAGTGTGATCCCATCCTCAATCTAGCCATGTACTCGGGAAGCTAGCTTGAGCTACCATCCATGCTGCCATGGCAACACTGCTACTAACACGCTAGCATGTAGCTGTCTATCTGAGCTGGGAATTTCACCTCCAGCTGCTGTGTATATGTGCCCTGAGCGCCCTCGTGATCCAAAATAACTCATTGCACAATGGAAGTGCCTGGGGCAGAAAACCTTTCCGGGCCCTAGGAATGAAAGGGACAAAGATGGGAAGAAGAGAGGTTAGCCTCACTAAGGGGCAGAGTTAAGGTTATGTTGGTATCTTAACTGGGCATTTCCAGACTTCCAAGTGTTTTGGAGCTTTTGAAATTTCCTGCAAATTTCCTGGACTTCTTTTTTAAAAAGTTTCTTGATTTTATTAACTACAACATTCTTGTGTTTTCCCTTTAATTGCTGATCCATGTTCTCAACCCTAAGTTCAGCTTCACAGAGTTTTGGTCTAGGTAGGATACATATGCATGCAGCAGGGACCTCACACTGCATGACCCCAGCTTTTTGACTGTAACAGACACCTGTGGCTGCCTAGAACTACCTGGCTTTCCCTGTGTTGAAGCCCATGACTACTTGGGATTTCATGGCAACAATGGGGACAGCAATCAGGTCCGCCTGCTCTAAATGCATAGCCCCCTACCACTTGAGCTAAAGGAGACTCTCCAGTTGCTGTATAAGGCCTCTGACACAGGTCTGATTGCAAACTGAGCAGTCCTGATTCCAAAGTAGAAGGCAGTGGTGACAACCGCATACTAGTCAGATAAATAATAATAATAAAAGCTAATATTTTAAAAGTTCCACTGTTTCCCATGCGGTTGAATGGTCCCTCTTTGGTGCATACTTTCAACCCAATACCATTTTTTAATGCAAAATACGGGACTTGCTGTAGTGAATGAGGTCACTGGCCCAACTAGATTAGACCTCCTTCAGGTGGCAGGGGGCATTGCAAGCCACTCAGAGATGCCCCCACAGACACATGGCCAAGGATGCCATGAGCCACTCAGTCCCCCTCCCCCATGACTGGGGGGCCTGTGAACTCCTTGGAGCTTGGCCTAACCTGACCAGACCGTGCTTCTTGGCATTGAGAGCAGAACCTATTGCTGAGGGTGGCAGGGCTCTTAGCAGAAGCCCAATGGGGTGAACTTGAACATGTGTAGTGTTTTAAAAATCAAACCTGCAAATGTCAAACCATGGGCAGCTAGGGAACAGCAGAGATGGGGGACCAGAGTCAGGCGCTGGGTGCGGATAGGCAGGTGGGGGAGCAGATACCCAGGAGCAGATGTAACAGGAATGACTGATACTTGATTACATGGTTATGAGCATCAGAGGGGTAGCCATGTTAGTCTGTCTCCACAAAAATGAGGAGTCCGGTGACCCCTTAAAGACTAACAGATTATTTGGGCATAAGCTTTCGTGGGTAAAAACCCCCACTTCTTCAGATGCATGGAGTGAAAATTACAGATGCAGGTATAAATATACTGACACATGAGGAAAAGTGAATTACCTTACAAGTGGAGAACCAGTGTTGACAAGGCCAATTCGGTCAGGGTGGATGTGGTCCACTCCCAATAATTGAGGACGAGGTCTCAATAACAAGAGAGGGAAAATTGCTTTTGTAGTGAGCCAGCCACTCCCAGTCCCTATTCAAGCCCAAATTAATGGTGTTAAATTTGCAAATGAATTGTAGCTCTGCAGTTTCTCTTTGAAGTCTGTTCTTGAAGTTTTTTCGTTGAAGGATGGCTACTTTTAAATCTGTTATTGAATGTCCAGAGAGATTGAACTGTTCTCCTACTGGCTTTTGTATGTTACCATTCCTGATGTCTGATTTATGTCCATTTATTCTTTTACATAGAGGCTGTCCAGTTTGGCCAAAGTACATGGCAGAGGGGCATTGCTGGCACATGATGGCATATATTGCATTTGTAGATGTGCAGGTGAATGAGACCCTGATGGTGTGGCTCATGAGGTTGGGTCCTCTGATGGTGTTGCTAGAGTAGATATGGGGACAGAGTTAGCAACGGGGTTTCTTACAGGGATTGGTTCTTGGGTTAGTGTTTCTGTGATGTGGTGTGTAGTTGCCGGTGAGTATTTGCTTCAGGTTGGGGGGGCTATCTGTAAGCAAGGACTGGCCTACCTCCCAAGGTCTGTGAGAGTGAGGGATCGTTTTCCAGGATAGGTTGTAGATCGTTGATGATGTGCTGGAGAGGTTTTAGCTGGGGGCTGTACATAATGGCCAGTGGTGTTCTGTTATTTTCCTTGTTGGGCCTGTTCTGTAGTAGGTGAGTTCTGGGTTCCTGTCTTGCTCTGTCAATCTGTTTCCTCACCTTCAAGTCAGTGGCACTGCTATGGGTACCCACATGGCCCCACAGTATGCCAACATTTTAATGTCTGACTTAGAACAACGCTTCCTCAGCTCTCGTCCCCTAGCGCCCCTCCTCTACTTGCGCTACATTGATGACATCTTCCTCATATGGACCCATAGGAAGGAGGCCCTTGAAGAATTCCACCTGGATTTCAACAATTTCCGCCCCACCATCAACCTCAGCCTGGACCAGTCCACACAAGAGATCCACTTCCTGGACACTACAGTGCAAATAAGTGATGGTCACATAAAGTACCCTATACCGGAAACCTACTGATCGCTATACTTACCTACATGCCTCCAGCTTCCATCCAGGACACATCACACGATCCATTGTCTACAGCCAAGCCCTAAGATACAACCGCATTTGTTCCAATCCCTCAGACAGAGACAAACACCTACAAGATCTTTATCAAGCATTCTTAAAATTACAATACCCACCCAGTGGCGTAGCCAGGTTCTAACAGCAGGGGGAGCGAACAAATAAAAAAAGGCGCCACCCGCTGTGAAGCAGCGAAGAAAAAAAAAAGAAAAACCCAAGTCTTGCTGATGAAGTCTGAAAAACCTGCCGCCGAATTGCCACCGAAGACCCAGAGCGACTGAAGCATCCGCCGCCGAAGACCCGGACGTGCTGCCCCTGCTGGGAAGTGCTCCCGAGTGAGTGTAAAAATTAAAAAGGTGCCACTTTTGGGGAATGTGCTCAGTGGGAGTGGCCACTCCCCCTGCTCCTCCCCAGCTACGCTACTGTACCCACCTGGGGAAGTGAGGAAACAGATTGACAGAGCGAGACAGGTACCCAGAAGTCACCTACTACAGGTGACTTACGTAAAAGAATAAATGTACACAAATCAGACTTCAGGAATGGTAACATACAAAAGCCAGTAGAAGAACAATTCAACCTCTCTGGACATTCAATAACAGATTTAAAAGTAGCCATACGTCAACAAAAAAACTTCAAGAACAGACTTCAAAGAGAAACTGCAGAGCTACAATTCAGTTGCAAATTTAACACTATTAATTTGGGCTTGAACAGGGACTGGGAGTGGCTGGCTCACTACAAAAGCAATTTTCCACCTCGTCCTCAATTATTGGGAGTGGACCACATCCATCCTGACTGAATTGGCCTTTGTCAACACTGGTTCTCCACTTGTAAGGTAACTCACTTCTCCTCATGTGTCAGTATATTTATGCCTGCATCTGTACTTTTTACTCCATGCATCTGAAGAAGTGGGTTTTTTTACCCATGAAAGTTTATGCCCAAATAAATCTGTTAGTCTTTAAGGTGCCACCGGACTCCTCATAACCATGTGATGAAAGGCTACAGAGTTACACCCACCCACAAGGGGGCCACATGCAACCCCATCTCCGGCATTTCCTGACTCCTCAGTGAATTCTCCTAATGCTGCTTTCGAATGGAATTCCCTAGAGTTTTAAAAAAGAAATATCATTCCATACGGCGTAAGTCTTTGGCGTCACCAGAATGCCCTGTGCCATGCAAGGGGAATGCTCAGAGCAAAGCCCTTGCTGCCTCCATTGTGTCCCTTGCTAAACCGTGTAAGGATGACATTTCAAAAGGGTCTAGGGAACACAGCAGACTTGAGTTGCTTTTGAAAATGGGACTTAGTCTCCTGTTACCCAGGGCCTGTGTGTATTTTTTCTGAGTGAGGCTCAAGCTCACGGTACATACTGAGTCGTCAAACTCCACATGACCCCAATACCTGGCATTCTTGTTGGCATCTGCTCGCAGCATTTTCACAGCCACCAGGACAGGTTGGTTGGAGCTGACATCCAAAGCAAAATCTTTGTCCAGGAACTTTTCCATTCCCTCCACTTCACAGAGATGAACCTAGAGGGGGGCAATGGGTAGTGTTTACCTTTGCCATCTGGTTCTCTGTTTCCTGAACCTGGGACTTCCTTGGGGGTCAAATCAGAGCAACTCATTCTTACCCTCAAACCTGAACCAAATCAGACCCTTAAAAATTCTGGTTGCCTACCCCGGTCTAAACCATCCAAGACAGATGGCTGTCCGTCCTCCTTTTGAAAACCTCCAGTGAAAGAGCTTCCACAACCTCCCTTGGCAGTCTGTTCCATTTTCCTGCTGCTCTTATAGATAGGAACCCTTAAAAATTCTGTTAGCAGTTATTTTCAGTTCTAATAATTCCCATGGCTGTTTTGCCAGCTCTAGGTCCTAACAATAATAATACCTGGCAAAGAGTTACTGATTTATTTTGTTTTATTACACTACAAGCCCCTATGCACTCACCCAGGGCATTCCCTATGCCCAGAAAAACAAGGACCTGGTAGAGTGCTCTAAGCAAAAGCATGGATGACAGTAGCTGCATCTGCAAGAAAAGGCCATACAACCTTCCGACAAGTCAACCACTGCTGCTACTTGATCCTCAGAATGCAGCCACGGAGCTAATATGACCCACAAATTGTAAAGTGGAGTAAGAAATGGTGGGCACAGACCGAAGCCAAGGCAGCACCACATATGGCAGCAGCATAGTCCTCTTCTGGAAACTGGATGTGACACAACGGGGACACCTCACTCTGCAAATCTGCTCCCCAAGAGTGTTACATTCTGTCTGATGACCAAAATAAATCTTTACTGCCTTTCACTCCTGTCGGTGCCAATACAACCAAGCCTGAGTGAGCCAGAACCAGCAACAGAACTGTTTACTCAGATCCAATCAGTCACAACCGCATCACCCTCCCTGAAAACAACGGGATTCCACAGCTGTCCCCATGGCCATAATTTAGTCTGAAGAACTAGTGATAATTTGGAAATGGAAAGAACCCAGCTTGACTGGAAGGGCCCAGGCTGAGTTTACATGAGGTGTGTGATCTCTGTGCTTCCTGAGCACAAATGAACTCTTTTGCTAGTTTTGACAAGGCCTTGTGGGAGCTATACACTTTCAGATAGCATCAACTGTCAGTAACTCTATTGAACTGCTACATAGCTTTGTTCTGCTGAAGCAAAATGATTCCACAGACACCACGTGCCTAGTACGTTCGTCTCAGCTTTTACAACATGAATTAAACACGTTTGAAATAAAATTCATCTCCTGGGCTCTGTTCTGGCATTGGCACAGATGTCCTGGTGCTAGGGCTGTGCAATGCAGAGAGACTACAAAGGGAGGCCATGTGGAGAGGGGCTCCAGGCCCGGAAGTGCACAGAGGATGATGTGTGCGGAGTCACTAAGCTCAAATCCCATTGCAGGACATGTAAGCAGCACACAGTTCCCAGGAATCTCAAAGAGGGATTCATTCCCATCCTAAATGTGTCCCACACACTCTTTGGAGCAACATCAACATTAGACATGGTCATAACTGTTAGAATAGCTACTCTAGACATAAAGTGAAAGGAATGTGAGTCTGCCTTCCAAGTGAGGTCACTGGAATTGCTCTACCTCAGGCTGGGTCTGAAGGGACGTTTTCTAGTTTTCAGCAACCACAGGGCTGCTCTGTGTCAGATCAGGACAAGCCCCACCCAAGGCCCCCGCTACCGATGTTGACAGAAACACAGACAAATCTTGAGAGCTCATTGGAATTTTTGTCCCTTGGGAAATTCCAAAATGTGTTTTAATCCTGAATCAGGACAAATAGTCAAAATTTTGACATATTCTGACATATTCAAAAGAACCTTATTGAAACATTTCATTGTGATAATATAAAAAAATTAAACAGAACAAGGAAGTTGCAATGAAATGAAACGAGGAAATTAAACAAAATGCCTCCTTTTGAGTTTGAATCATTTTGAAAATTTTCAATCAAAAATTTCATCAGAATTGACACATTCCCTCAAAACATTTTGATTTTGACAAAACTGCATTTTCCAACAGAAACCTGTTCCAGTGAAACTTTTTTGATCTACTCTGGAAATCATGCTTTGGCAGAAGCCGTGGAGAAAATAATTTTTGGCAAATGCAGTTGGAAAATAGTGCTTTGATGGAAAAGGAAGCTATTTAGAATTTCACTTCATCATTTTGTTTTTTTCCCAAAGAAACTTTAGCACTATTCTCATTTTTATATTTGAAATTGAATATTCATGCTATTGCTATTGAGTATAATTAGATAATTTCATTAAAAATGTGGAATTAAATGCAACATTTTATATGAGCAAAAAATGTAATAGATTCATAGATCTTAGAACCATAGGGTTAGAAGGGACTGCAAGGATCATCTCTTAACCCCCTGCCACGATGCAGAATTTGTTGTGTCTAAACCAGGGGTCAGCAACCTTTCAGAAATGGTGTGCCGAGTCTTCATTTATTCTCTCTAATTTAAGGTTTCGCGTGCCATTAATACATTTTAACATTTTTAGAAGGTCTCTTTCTATAAGTCTATAATATATAACTAAACTATTGTTGTATGTAAAATAAATAAGGTTTTTAAAATGTTTAAGAAGCTTCATTTAAAATTAAATTAAAATGCAGAGCCCCTCCCGACCAGTGGCCAGGACCCGGGCAGTGTGAGTGCCACTGAAAATCAGCTTGCGTGCCGCATATGGCACGGGTGCCATAGTTGCCTACCCCTGGTCTAAACCATCCAAGACAGATGGCTGTCCGGCCTCCTTTTGAAAACCTCCAGTGAAAGAGCTTCCACAACCTCCCTTGGCAGTCTGTTCCATTTTCCTGATGCTCTTATAGATAGGAAGTTTTTCCTGAGATTTAATCTAAATCTGCTGTGCTGTAATTTGAACCCATTGCCTCTTGTCCTGCCCTCGGTGGCAAGAGAACAATTTTTCTCCATCTTTATGGCAGCCTTTCAAGTATCTGAAAATTACTGTCATGTCCCCCCTTAATCTCCTCTTTTCCAAACTAAACATAGCCAGTTCCTTCAGCCTTTGCTCATATGGCTTGCATTCCATCCCTTTGATCATCTTTGTTGCTTGCCTCTGGATCCTTTCCAGTTGCTTTACATCTTTTCTATATATTGGTGACCAAAACTGGACACCGTACTCCAGATGAGGCCTAAACAGCATCAAGTAGAGCGGTACAGTCACCTCCCGTGATTTGCATGTTACGTCTCTGTTAACGCAATCTAAAATTGCATTTGCTTTTTTTGCAACAGCTTCACATTGCTGACTCATGTTGAGATTGTGATCCACCACTATTCCCAGAGCCTTCTCAGCAGTGCTGCTGCCAAGCCAGTTTTCCCCCATTCTGTATTTGTGCATTTGATTTTTCTTCCTTACGTGTATCACCTCACATTTGTTTTTGTTGAATTTCATTTTGTTGTCGACAGCCCAGTTCTCCAATTTACCAAGATTCCTCTGAATTTTAGCTCTATCCTCCAAAGTACACCTCTACCCCGATATAACGCGACCCGATATAACACGAATTCGGATATAACGCAGTAAAGCAGTGCTCCGGGGGAGCAGGGCTGCGCACTCCGGCGGATCAAAGCAAGTTCGATATAACGCTGTTTCACCTATAACGCGGTAAGAGTTCTTGGCTCCTGAGGACAGCATTATATCGGGATAAAGGTGTATTGGCAATCCTCCCCCCCCAGCTTTGTGTCATCTGCAAATTTGATCAGGATGCTCCCTATTCCTATATCCAGGTCATTAATAAAGATGTTAAACCACACTGGGCCCAGAACCGATCCCTGGGGAACCCCACTTGAGACCTCCCTCCAATCCGACATCATTCCATTGATAGTTACTCTTTGTTTGCGGTTGTTTAACCAATTATGTATCCACTTAATAGTAGTTCTGTCGAACCTGCATTTCTCCACGTGGGACTGTGTCAAAAGCCTTGCTAAAGTCCAGGTATATTATGTGCACCGCATTCCCCCTATCCACTAAATCAGTTACCCTGTCAAAGAGGACATCAAGCTGGTTTGGCATGATTTGTTCTTGGTAAATCCTGCTGGCTGGTAGTGATCACCCCTTTATCCTCCAGGTATTTGCAAACTGAATGTTTCATACATTGCTCTAGTAGTTTCCCAGGGATCGAGGTCAGGCTGACCCATCTGTAGTTCCCTGGCACGTCTTTTTTCCCCTTTTTAAAGACTGGCACTATGTTAGTCCTTCTCCAGTCTTCCGGGACCTCTTCTGTTATCCAGGAGTTTGTAAATATTATTGCCAGTGGCTCAGAGACTTCAACTAATTCCTTCAGTACCCTCGGGTGATTAGCATCCAGCCCTGCTCATTTGAATGAATTTAAATTGGTAAGAAGATCTCTGACGTGTTCTTTACTTATCTTGATCTGCATCCCTTCCCCTTTATTGTCTATGGTAACTTTGCTAGTCATCCAGTCACATGTTATTTTTTAAGAAACAACTGAAGCAAATTAGGCATTGAGCAGCTCTGCCTTCCTATCATCTTCTTTTATCAGCTCAAGTTCTCCATTGAGCAGCGGACCAACACTGTCCCTGATCTTTCTTTTTTGTCTGACATATTTGAAGAACCTCTTCCTGTTGTCTCTAACATTTTTTTGCCAGCTGTAACTCATTCTTCACCTTGGCTTTCCTGATTTTGTCCCTACATGCTCGTGCTATTCCTATGTATACTTCCTTGGTGACGTGCCCCTCCTGCCATATCCTGTATGTATCCCTTTTGGGTTTTAGATAGCTGAAAAATGCCTTGTGCAGCCACATTGGCTTCCTGTGGCTCTTATCTTTCCTCTGTGTCAGAATAGCTTGATGTTGAGCCACTAGTATTACATTTTTTAAGAACTGCCAGCCCCCTTCAACTCCTTTTCTTCCTAATTGGTCTTTTTCTCTGAGTCGGCTGAAATCCACTTTTTTGAAGTCCAGTGTCCTCGTTTTCTCATGTTCTCCTTTCCATAGGATCTTGAATTCTATCCAATCGTGATCACTTCCTCCCAACCACTTTTATGTTTGCAATTCATTCATCCCTGTTCATCAAAACCAGATCCAAAATGGACGATTCCCAGTTGCTTCTTCAACGTTCTGAATCATAAAGCTGTCTCCTACACACAGTAAGAATTTGCAGAACGTACTATGTTTTGCTACAATAGTCTTACAACAGATATCAAGGAAGTTAAAATCCCCATACTAGCTTATGTGTGTTAGCGAATCTTGTTACCTGCTTGTAAAATGACTCATCCACTTCCTCTTCCGGATTTGGTGGTATATAATTAAGGCTAGGAGTATGTTATGGAGGTCGTGGAAGTCACGGATTCCGTGACTTTCCGTGACCTCTGTGACATTGGGGCCTCTCAGCAGTCCAGCCGCTGCAGCAGCAGGGGAGCCAACCCAGCTCCCAGCCCTGCAGGGTGGGGGGGATCCCCTGGACCTCCCCAGCTCCCAGACCTCCCCAGCCCCTGCAGGCAGCGGGGGAGCCTCAGAGTTCCCCAGTTGCTGCCGCCAGCAGGGACCCCACAGATCCCAGCCCCACAGTTCCCAGTCGGTGCAGG